TCCTCATGTTGTGGTGACCCCCAACCATAAAATTATTTTCGTTGCTACTCTATAACTGTAATTTTGCTACTGTTATGAATCATAATGTAAATACCTTTTTGTTTTCCGATGGCCTCAGGCGACCCCTGTGAAAGGGGTCATTCAACCCTCAAAGGGGTCGCGACCCACAGGTTGAGAACCGCTGCTCTAGATCATGGTGGTCCCACAGCTGGTGGTCCCAATGTGTAGTCAGGTTGCCTGTAAACATACCAAGCAGCCTGAGTTGTGATGCCCGCCCCATCTCTACCTCATTTCTATTAGCTTGGCTTACAGTTTGGTTCAGGCTGCTTCTTCAGCTTCAGCTACTACCTCTCCCGCCACCTCTATGCACATCATACCTCAGCCATACTTTGTCCTATTTGTCCACCAGATAGACAGTCTCAGTTCGTGAATGAAATATCATTTTACCAATGTTAATTTTCCCCAAATTAATTCATATACTCAATGGAGTTCCAGTTCAGTTTTCTCACGAGGAACTGGAAAAACATCCTGAAAATTATATGGGATGGTAAAGGTTCATGAATAGCCAACGTAACTGTGACAGAAGTAGGGATGGGGGCCTTGCCTGTCAACTATGATGATTGGCTACAAAACCCTAGTCATAAAACCTGTGCTACTGGCACAGGAACATGCCAGAGAGCTCAGAACAGACCCAGGTATATTTAGGAACCAAAATGTTGGAAATATTTGCTCACTCCATCAAGAAAAATAAAATCGGATCCTTATCTCTCACCATATACAAAGGCGAACTCCGGAAGGATTAGAGAACTCAATGTGAAAAGTAAAACTCTAAAGCTAATAGAAGAAAATGACAGAGAATACCTTTATGACCTTGGTGTTGAGAAGGACTTCTTAAATATACTGGAAAAGCATATAAAACGTAAAAAAACAATGACAAAGGGTTACAAAATTAAGAATTATTGTTCTGCACAGAACATCTCAGGCAAAGTTTTCAGTTTTTGAAAGCAGATTAATGTCTAGACTTTACAAAGAGCTTTTGCAAAAAACCCCAAAAAACCCCCACACACAATAGAAAAATAGGCAAAAGTTGTAGACAATTCACAAAAGGAGACCCCAAGTGGCTTATGAATACATAAAGAAATTCTCAATTTCACTAGTAGTCAGAAACATGGAAATTAAAACAAAAATGTGTTGATGCTATTCGATGATATTGACAGATATTTAAAAATTGGCTAATTAGATGAGTCAGTATTTATAAGGCACTTAGAATAGTATTTGACACTTACTAAACACTATAAGAGTGTTTATAATTAAACAAACCACCACATGCTTGCAAGGATGGGAGTCGGGGAAAGAAACCCTTATACCAACTGTAGGGCAGCAACTCGGGTGTACAATCTAGCAGTGAAATTAGGTATCCAGGACTTCCACCAGGCTACTAGGCACCTTTGTGCCACTGAAAAACAGAGTCCACCACTGGGCAGATAAATTTGTAAAAGGCATAACCTCTGGATTCACAGACTTCTAGGTTCATGTCTTGGCTAGTGAACAGAGCTTTTGTGGGAAGAAAAGGGGATATTTTCCTCCAGTAGAGCACATGACATGGGGAAGAGAGTAGGGACTGTTTTTCTGCCCCCACTTGGCTCCCTGGCTGGGTGTCTTTGTGCAGGACAAGTTGCATAACTGAATGCAATGCCCCCGTGACGTTAGCAATCTCACTCCTAGCTATGTATTTCAGAGGAATTTGCACACAGGTCCATAAAGTACCATGGACTGATTGTGGAGTTGGAGATGTGGAGGCAGCCTTGGTATCCATCACTTGGGGATGGAAGTACAACGTGTGGCTGTCCTATAGAGGGCAGTATGCAGCAGTCAGAAGCAATGAATTGGGATCACAATACCAACTGAAACAGAGTGAGATCCTGAAAAGGAATAGTTGAGTGAACAAAGTGGAAAATAAGATGATCCTTAAAGTCCAATGTCATTATCAAACATTTAAAAATGCACCAACAAAAATGGTATTCATTTTTCAAAAATACATATCCAAGCACAGAAGCATGAATGCCAATGGGACTGAGGCTGAGGAGTGGGAGTAGGGATGGGGACAAAGGAGAAAAAAATAAAACGAGAGGGGCCTTGCATGTTTTATGAACCAAGGAGTTTAATTCCTCTCACTCACTGAACCTGGAGTCTAAAGGGTATGGAGATGAAGGGGAGGAGGAGAGGGCGGGAGAAGGAGAAGAAAGGGACTTGAGAGTGGAGCCCCAGGTTCTAGGCAGGTTTTCATGATGTGGTCCCAAATACGTTTTCCCAGGGTACCTCGCGCTCTACACCTTATTTTTCTCACCACTAGTAACCAAACCCTTCGAAGCCAGGACCTGTGTTTTCTCTACCTACGTTTTCCCTGCTGCTGTCTTGCACACAGTAACTGCTTCATAAAGGATGTAATTGACTCGAATTGAGATGATTTCTTGTTCCCGTGACCTAGCCGCTTTGCCACAGAGGGCAGGGTGTGGTTGCCGGATCTTCCCTCATCCAGAACCGTCCCATCCACATTTCCTTGGAAGCGTTAGTCTCCGGCTCTCCTTTCAGCTCCCGGTCTCCATCACCTCTTTCTCAGTGGCCTCTGCCCATTCACTTTCTCCTTTCTCTTTGGTGTGTCTAACTTCTGCGCACACCCTGGGACTCCTCCCAGGCTCTCAGAGGCACTGCCCTCTTATTTCCTGGGTCCCGCCCCATTCAGGACCTTTGCGATTTCTCCGAGGTACCTCGGAGTGAGCGCCTCCCTGGCCCCTCCCTCTTCGAACATCCTCTAGCGCCCCTAGAGGGCGTGGCGGTTGCCAGGCAACGGGAGGACGCGCCGAGCGCCGGGTTTCGCCCCCGGAGGGGAATAGAAATCAGGTGGTGCGTTTTAGACGCTGGGGGCAGTGCACAGCCCCTTCCTCAGACTCAGGCCCAGTTTCTGCGATCTCCACAGCAGCCTCTGCGGCCACCCCCAGAGAGCGTCAGGATGGCTGAGGTCAGGAGTCAGCCCCTCTCTCTGTTGCTTCTCGCTTGGCCCCTCCCCGTTGTCCCTCTTCTATGGATTTATCCTCTGTCATATCCACTGATTCCAGTATTCTCCCCATCACATCCTATCCCCATCCTCAGCCTAACCCCCCCCCCCGGGTCCGGCCCCCCGGGCCCAGTTGGCTCTGGACCCATTACCACCTGTCTTTCCTTTAGTTGGGTGGATACCTCTCACCCTGAATATTAAACTCAAATTGACACTGTGCTAAGCCAGGTAGTAAATTTTATGACAGGCATTCATCCGTCCTTAGATTTTGAGATATAAGGTGATACCACAAGAGAGATACACAGACATATTGATGTCTCATTGACTGGGGGGACGTACAAGAAAGCTTCATAGACACCACTGTCACCCCTATTCAATGAATCTTGTCCAACCATCACAGCAGGATTCCCTATCAACTGATCACCTGCTGTGACACATCTCCATTAAACTCTTCAGCCAATCACCAGTGCCCTGTGTTATCATTGACCACTGTGTTAAGATCTTGTAGCCTCCATTCACTTCCCCACATTTTAGTACACCCCATCTTAGCCTCACTGATGAGGGGTCATTTAAAAATTTTTTTAAAGATCCCCTGTCCCTTAGCACCCTCATTTATAACTTTGACATTAGGTCCCCGTCATCACTTGCCATTCATAATCCCCATCCACCATGGTCCTATCCAAATCCTTCATGGCCCCATCAGAGCTCTGCCCCATTTCACCCATCTCATGGTCGGTCCCGTTCAGGATCAGCTACATATAATTTGTGGAGCACAATGAAAAATGAAAATTCAGAGTCCCTTGTTAAAAATTGTTAAGAATTACAAGATGAGACAGCAGAGCACCAAACCGACTGGGGGATGGGGCCTGTCTGAGCAAAGGCCCCTGTGCCACTGCTTAGGTCACATACCCAAGGGGCCAGCCCTGGTCCCAGCTCCTGTCGCCGCCATCATGCCCCCACCCCTATTCCAGTTGCTTCTCTTGTCTCCTGTATACCATTCACATCCCCGTATCATTCCATCTCCTCCATATCTGGTCTCCCCTTATAAACTCCATCTTCCTCTGATCAACAGCTCCCTCTCCTTACCGAACAATCCCTTTTATCCCCTCTGCCTTCCTCTCTCCCTGGGTGCCATCACTCTTATGTCTCTTGTACATCCGTACTGCTGGGGCCACATTCCTTATCGCCAGTACCCACACTCATTCATATCTTTCTTCCCATTTTTTCCTTCTGTTCCTTTTAGTTTTCCTTTTTTCCTGTATTATTTGCTTTTGCATATTTCCTCCTATTCTCCTCCACTAGTAATTTTGGTTTATTTCATTCTTCTTCATTTTCTATACATAAGCCCCAGATGCCAATACTATGAAATAATTATTTTCTAGTTTCCCTTCCCTTTCATTATCTCCCTTATTCCTTCCTTCTGTTTTTCTTCTCACTTGATCTCAGCTTACTTTTTCTCACCTCTGCTTTCATAAGTCTTCATCTTCACTCTGGCCTCATTTTCCACTACAGCTTTCTTTTCCTTTTTCCTCTTCCTTCTCCCCACTAATGGGTATTTCCAGCACCTAGAATGGTTCCTGACAGATAAACACTCAATACATAGGTGTTGAGTGAAGGAGCATCACAGAGCATCTTATTAGTTCATGTTAAAACCATGCTTCTGAAATAGTACCATTATATGCCACAACAGTATAAATATTCCAACTAACAATTGATCACAGCTAAGAGATTATTTTGATTTGCTTTTAATAGCAGCATAGTTTTAAATAGCAATATGAACAAAATTTCTTTTGTTCATAAAAGTTTTTTTAAAACTTTTCTTTCTTTGACATTTTTCCACTCCCGTGCTAAGTACCAGGTGTACAGGGAAAACCTAGCCTGCCAACAAATCATTAGGCTGGTGATCGAGTGTTGACATTAATACCATTTACAGGGATGAAACCAAGAACATTGCTGTGATATATTTTTCTGTGTCCTCATGGTTAGCATCAGCAAGGGGAAAGCACACAGCCAACGCAGCTCATATTTCCTTAATATGATTTTTCCTCCTTTGTGGAATTGTTATATTATGATCTTTGCAATAACCTGCTCTTAGTCAGGAAAAAAACTTCTGTTGCGTTTAACATTAGCACTAATATTGTTACATGAAATGTTACACATGCGGTTATGACCCGACATCTATTTTAAGATGAGGACTCTGTCTTGCTTGTATGTCATCTTTAGAAATTTAATCAATGGTACAAATGTTTTTGAAAATAAAAAATTGGTAGACTTTCTCCATATTGAGCAAGAGAGTCTTGTCAAAGCAGAAAGGAAACTAGCCTACTTGCCCAAAATCTTTGGGGTGACTTTGAATTTTGCTTTATTATTGGGAATGAAGATCATCTCAGTTTATTTAAAAAAAAAAAAGTTGATGCCAAAGCCCTTTTTAGTGTAGACTATCAAAGCATAATGTTGCAAACATAAATAAGATCTTTCAAACCTTATCAGTTCTTTGCTCAAAAGTCTTGAGTGATTTCCTGTGGCCTAGAAAATAAAAATAATTCACTCCATGTTCCTTAGAATGCTCCTAGGGCCTCCACAGTCTGTCCATAACTCCCTGTCTAGTCTTCTCCTTCCTTCTTCTTGCCATACTTCTTACAGTTTAGCCAACCTGAGCTCCGTAACCAATCTCAAATCCTGGACACTTGCTTGGCCCTGAACCTCTGCTCATGCTTTGCCATTTGCCAGGAATATCCTTTCTCTCCATACCCACCTGTGAAAATTCCACTCTGTTTTCTGGGCCTGCTCAAAATCCATTTCCTTTATGAAATTTGCCTTAATTCTTGCTGCTGGGAGTAATTCTGTTTTTGTATAGGTCCTTGTAGAATTTTGAATCCATTTTATGGCAGATATCAAATTCTGTGTGTACTTCCATTATCTGAAAACACACCTCATCAACTATTAATGTATAAATTTCCTGTGGGAAGGTTGTTTATTCTTTGTCTTGGTATCTCCTACAGGCACCATCATTCCAACTTACATATAGCAGATGTTCAATAAATATTTGCTGAATAAACAAATATATTAACCATACACATTTTATTTTGTTATTGTGCTGTATCTAATAAGCAGTAGGTGTATTAGTTTGCTAGGGCATCCATAATGTAGTACCACACACTGGGCGACTTAAAACAACAGATATTTATTGTCTCACAGATCTGGAGGCTGGAGGTCTGAGATCAAGTTGTTGGCAGGGCCATGGTCCATCTGAGACCCTGAGTAAAGCCCTTCCTTGTGTCTTCCTAGCTTCTGCTGGTAGCCAGCAATCTTTAGCTTTCCTTAGCTTGCATCTGCATCAGCCTAATCTCTGTCTCGTCTTCACATGGCATCTTCCTGTGTGTGTGTCTATCTGTGTCCAAATCCCCCGCACTGCTTTTTATTGAAATATAATTGACATGTAACATTGTATTAGTTTCAGGTGTACAGTATCATGATTTGAAATATGTATATACTACAAAATGATTACCACAATAAATGTAGTTAACAGCCATTGCCACACATAGTTATAATTCCATCCCCCCTTTTTATAAGGACACCAGTAATATTGGATTAGGGCCCACCCTACTCCAGTATGACCTCAACTTAACTAGTTATATATATGCAATGCCTCTATTTTGAAATAAGGTTCCATTCATGAGTACTGGGGGTAAGGGCTTCAACATAACTTTCTGGGGGACACAGTTCTGCTCATGCACTAGGGAAATAAGAATTCCTATATAGCTAACTCCTGGGTTCTCATGTAACTCATAGGCAGACTTGCCTGAATTACATTTGTATGTCTGGGCTTCTATTTTTAAATGATTTGTTGTCCAGCTAATCATGGAAAGCAAATGTGGAAAAAGCCCATGAGTCTTGCACAGAGGACATTTCAATATACTTGTGGAGATAACGTGGCCTAATTTGCTTAAGGGATAAAAATGATGGGCTATCGTTTAGGAGACTAGTCCATATTTCAGATGGGCTTCACTCTGAGTATGTGTCATTTCATGGTACTTATACCAAGATCTCCCCAAGTGTGACCTCAACGTGCCGTGGGTTCCCCCTGCAGTTCTGGGGCAGTAAGAAGTGGATGAAATGAAAAGAGATTAGAGGGCCAGCTGAGTGGCTCAGTTGGTTAAGAGCTCGCTCAAGAGTTTGAGCTCTGAGCAACAGCGGTTCGAGTCAGCCCGAGCTGAGCAGCCGTGAGCTGCCAACAGGTGGCGGGATGGCTCAGCTAAAAAAAAAAAAAAAAAAGAGATTAGGGCTTGGGATAATCATAACAGCTATCAAAATTTATTGAGTACCTACTGTCTGCCAGGTATTTGGCTAAATTTTTAACATGAAAGATCCCATTTAATCTCATCTGTACCCCAACACCATGTGGTAGGAACTATTTTACGTATGTATGCATCAGGGGATGAACATCATATATTACAGTTGTTCCCTTCCCATCATACAGTGTTACATTTTCTGCTTGTCAGAACCTTTTATTTCACTTGTGTGAAGGTTCTTTATTCATGGGTATTAACAGTAACTCCTGACTAGTAACGGTGTAAGTGTTGCAATGCTCATTCCCATCCCTGCTCTTCTGTCCAGGAAAAGGGGGGAAAATTCGTGCTGGAAGAAACTGCATTTGAAGAAATCGAAAGGGATTTTCTGGAGGTTCTCAACGAACTTTCAGGAGACAAAAGTCTGGAGCGATTTAGGATCGAATATGAGAAGCTTCATGCTGTCATGAAAAAGTCTTATGACAATGAAAAGCGTCTGATGGCCAAATGCAGAGAGCTAAATGCAGAGATTGTGGTTAATTCCGCGAAGGTCGCCACTGCCCTGAAGCTCTCTCAGGATGACCAGACCACCATTGCATCCCTGAAGAAGGTCAGTGATCTAGAAATGGGACCAATGGAGAGCTGCCATAAATACATCCTATATTTAAAACATCATCCTTTTATTATATTGGCAGCTCTTGGCTGGTAGTAAATGAGTTATTAAGTAAAAATTTACATGATTTATATATTCATTAAGCCTAGGGAATAATGTTTGTTTTCAAAGAAAATAATTAGCTGGATGAATTTCACTATTCAGAAAATAATGTAGAACCTTACTTACTGGCTTGGCTTCTAGGAAATGCTGGGTTAACAACAACAAAAAAAATTAGAGATAAGTAAGTGCAATATTAGGAATCTTGGTATGACTTGTTTGATACAAGATGAGTAGTAATTAAATATCCCATGATAGTTTGTTAAGAATATTTTCCTATTTCTACTTTTTCTATTGTTTTAGGAGAGATTACCTGAGGAATTCTCAGAAATATAATTTTCATTACATTTCTTCTTAGCATCCCTTTGCTGCTTCCTTGATCTCCCTAGTTTCTTGTGAGAACAGGGATTCTGGACAGGGGATGTGTGAGTGTGTGTGTGTGTGTGTGTGTGTGTGTGTGTGTGTGTGTGTAGGTAATTAGGGAAGTATGACTTTGTTTTACACTTTATTTTTCCATCCTCAAGTGTGTTGCATTATTTTGAAGATAAAACATAAATGTTCCATGTTGATTTCAGGAAAATCAGAGGTTAAGACATTTTAATTTATAATTAAAAGCCTAGTGATGAGAAATAATTCTCAAATTTTTAAGATAATTGCCATGATATCATGCAATTAAAATCAGCGAATTCAGAAGAATTTCCAAGATCAGTGTAAAATATGATGTTTTCTTAGAAACAACGTAAAAAGAAATTTTTTTAAAAAAGATTTTATTGGGGAATTGGGGGAGGGAACAGCGTTGGGGAATTGGGGAAAGGGAACAGACAAGTTGCTGTCCTTTTGTTCTTCAGTCTAGTTGTGGAGGACGTCGCTTCACTGGCCAATGTTGGTATTATTATTGCGCTCTTCCCGGGTGAGGTAGTTGCTCACCGGCCATTTGATGGCTGCTCACGGCGGCTCACAGCAGCTCACGAAAGCGCACGCCAGCAGCCGGCCAGCCCCCCTGCAGACTACACTATTGCCGGCGACTCACGGCAGCCCAGCTCCAGGTCGAGCTGTTGTTCACCATCTTAACTGTAGGGGTCAGCATCACTGGCCCATATGGGATCTGAACTGGCGGCCCTGCTGCTCAGAGCTCACGCTCCCAAGCCAACTCTTAGCCAACAAGCTACTTGGCCAGCCCAAATGACTTTTTTGTGAGGTGTTATTTTCTCCCTATTGTCTTTTTTCTTTGCTGAAAAACCAACTTAAGAAGGCTCTAATTCATTTTATGATGAGGAAAAACACCCTACTTTTTATTGTAAATTTAGAAACTGGTGATGGGAGTCATGAATTTATTAAAATCTAATTGATGATGTCAATTTGGACAATTCTTCATATAATCATATTTTCATTTAAATATCCCTCATTTGTTTTGCTGAAAATACTATAGGTGGTTGCTACAGACAAACCTATATCATAAACTGACATTTTGTTTTGAATTGCTAAGTTAGGTGCTGTAGTTACTCAATAGTCATCTCTATTGTAATAACACGGATTTACTTAATTTAATTAAATACTCTCTACCACTCATTTTATTCCTTGTCAACATGAAAGTGGAATATTTTCTCCTTAAGCTAATAGGGTCTTACTTGTATATAGGACTCACATTCCACTGGACAAATTTTTGCAAGAAAATTAAGTGGCAGGGTAAAACTCAAGGCTGTTGCAATACTTACTGTGCTTTGTTCATTTAGTTGAATGGCTGTAGTTCACTTTTAAGTATTTATATTAATAGTTCACATTGCATTTCATAATAGTAAGGAAGCCAAAGCTGCATGAGTCACTGTTTCCATTCCCTGCCGTGTGCTTTGTTTTTCCCCTATAAGCGTTTGATGAGAAGGCCTGGGCTTGAGTTTCTGGAAATGGGAATTATCAAGGTTGTTGTGTACAATGAGGCGACAGCACAGACCACTTTGCTATGAATTGTTCTAAAGCTCACACTGCCATCCAGGAGTTCACTTGGGAAAATACACTTTTAATTTGGAATCTATCAAGATCTTCAAATTTAGAGCTTGGTCCAAGATCATTCCTTATGGGATAAAGCTTATTTTAAAAAAAATAAAATATCTGGGCTTGGAAAGCACATAGCTGTTATCTTTAATTTTGTAAACCTGTCTTAACATTTTTATTTGAAACATCCTCCTAGTTATAGCATCCCTTGCAGTATGTGAGCCTTGTAGCTACTCTCACCTACTCAAGAAAAAATACACGTTTCCAATACCCCTCCCCAAAACTGGCTTATGTTGAACAATTCAGTAAGTCAATATAAATTTTGCTTAATGTATAATGTATACTGTTCTCTCCCCATAAATGACTATTATACTGCAGTTGTTTTATTATTCTCAGTTTACTCAGTTTGTCTTGCACCTGGAACCTAGTTTGGTTTTTCTCACTGATGTCCTGTGGCCCGCCTAGGAAATTGAAAAGGCCTGGAAGATGGTAGACTCAGCCTATGATAAAGAGCAGAAGGCAAAGGAGACGATTCTTGCCCTGAAGGAGGAAATAGTGAACCTGACCAAACTAGTGGAGCAAGGATCTGGACTATCAATGGACCAGGACAGCAAGTAGGTGATGCCGTTTTGATGCTTTTGCAGAGGACTCTTTCAGCAGACAGCCTGGGGCTTGCCAGTGTCACCTTTGTGATACACAGCTCTCCTGCTTTGTGGGTTTCCTGGAGTTTTCTGTCTATTGCTATTTTTTCTTTTTAATACTCCCTTTCTCCATACCCAAGAACTCCTAATTTGTGGTTATATTAAACTTTTGGCTTTATAAAAAATCAGTATTACAGTTTCAAAATGAGTAAAGGTTTTAAGTTTATTTCTCTCAAACTTGTGTGGAATGGAACTGGCTGCCTTTCTGTTTAGATTTCCAGCTCCTCCCATAACCCTCCCTGCTCAATGATTAGTTGCATTACCATCCTTCTGAATTCTCAGATTCTTGGCCAGAAAACAGAGTTTCTTTTCACCCCTGCCACTCCTTTATCCCTTAAAACGTCATCTGGTTATCGATTATCTTCTAACCATCCCTTCCGTCTTTCCCTCCTCTATTGCCAGTGCTGCTGCCTTGGTTTGGGCCTCCCATCCTCTGCTGGATTTGGCAGTAGACTCCTAACTGGTCTCCTGCCTTCAAGGAGACTTCTCCAGCCTCTTTGCCATCATCTACATACCAGATGTATGATTCTGAAACATGTATCTGCATGCTTCCGCCTCCAGCATAAACACCTTCCATAGATACCCATTCCCAAAGGATAAAGCCCCAAATCTTGAACATGTCTTTCAGGGCCCTCCCAGATCTTCCCTAGTCAGCCTTGCCAGACTCATGCCCAGCAGCACCATGCTTACTCATGCCTCAGTACCTTTGAACATGTCGTTTTCTGTGCCAGGAATGCATTTCCTTCTTTTCTCCATGTAGTACACATCCTTAGTATGCATCCTTCAAGACCCATCTCAAACACCATCTCAACCTCATCAGCATCTCTCTTCTTAGTCCCTCCTCACCCCCAGACCCAATGATCAAGCAGAAGAGTCACTGTGTTCTGTTTCCTTAGGACCCAACCCCTGCCTCAAGTACAGCACTGATCACATTGTACTGAAGTTATTTGTTGATGTGCTTCTCTACCCATTAGTCTGTAAACTCCCTGAAGCAAGATACCTTTACCTTCCCTCCAGGAGTCTAGCACTGTGCAGGCCGTGCAAAACCTTGCATTAATCAAGAATGAGCATCCATACCATAAAGTCGGCATCTTTAACTAAATTTAACTGCCATCTGTGTTTCTTAGGCTTTCTAGATGCACTTATCCAATGGTGACAGATATTTCTAAGTGCAGGTATTGGGGAGGGAACAGGAAAAGCAAATAGGAGGTGTGGTGTCCATCATAATGGACCCTAGTTTCTTATTAAAGAAGTCAAGCATAATCAAAGCAGCTATTGAGGAGCAATGTGAGGCAACTGATACAGCTGGGAAGTGTCGTAATGAGAAGTGGCATGTGGTTGAGGAAAAGAACTGAAGAAACTATCCAGCTCAGAATTTTCCCTTCAACAGTACACTCAGATGTAGCGTCTCTCTTCACAGTAACCTTAGAATTCGAGGTTTTGTTTCTGAAGAAGAGTTTTAATGTGGTTTTGAAGGTTCCTTTATGTTATATCAGAGTTGTTGGTAAATAAACATCATCAAATTATTGTGTTTCTAATAGTCCTCTGATGACTGTCAGCTGTAAGGGCCTCAAATGCAAGTTGTTTGCTTTCTCTGCTCTGAAGTAGCTGCCTTGCTCTCCATTAATTCTGCTGCACAAGTCAGATCAGATATAGTTTTTCTACTTTCAGAATGCTAATTCTGCAGAAAGTCATACCACATTATATGTAATGGTTTTTGAAATGTGGAAGTAACTGGTTTACATTTCAAATCAACAAATATTATCACATACCCTCTAAAAGCTGGCATCATGAATGATTTTTCAAATTTTGTTGCTGGAAAATGGGTTGCATTTCTTTGGGAGAAACTATATGGGTGAATGGATAGAAAAATGGCAATGCATATTATTTGTTGATGTTTATGCTTTCCTTTAGACTTTATAGCTGTGATCATAGGCTTCCAGTGGATATATTAAACAAATAATTTCCTAAATTGACATTTCCTTAGTGTTAATTACAAGAGCTGACAATAGCAGTACAGTCTTATTGTAACAAATTCAAAATAACACAGGTGTGGAAACTAAGGAGTAAAAATCACCCCCCCACCTCTTTCTTCCAACTTCATTTCCATTTTTCAGAGATAACCAGTTAACATTTTGGTGTCTATTTTTTTTGAAGTTTTTTTTTAAAAATTAGTTTCAGGTGTATAAAACAATGTAATAGACATTTACACGCCCTACAAAGTGATAACCCTTCTCCCCCATGGTGTCTATTTTTTTGACTTCCATAAAAAAAAAATGCCACACACACACACACACATGCACGCACACACACACACACACACGCGCACGCACACACACTGTAATTTTTTAAATATAAGAAAAAGGATTATGTTATGCATGTTATGTTATTATTGGAACTCTTTTTCAGTTAACAACTCACAAACAGCTCCCATGTCAGGGCATAAAGATCTTTCCCTTTCACACTTGAATAGTGTTCATCCTTGACCTGAAGTCTTTCCCATGGAAATGAGCTCAGAGGATGATAAGAAGGACTCTGAGCAGATGGCCGTTTAGTCTGACTCCCATACTCCCGTGTTCTTCTTTTTCAGTATCCGAGATTTACTGAAGTTCAAAGAAGAAGTGACAAAGGAGCGAGACCAGCTCTTGTCAGAAGTGGTGAAATTACGAGAGTCCTTAGTTCAGATCACTGAACAGCAGCAGGGGCTGGAGCAACAGAAAGAAGAGGCCGAGCAGGTCATCAGTCAGGTCTGCTTTGCCATGGAGGGCACAAGGAAGGAACATTACCTTCCAGAAGCACGTTTTGTCCTACCTCAGTCTTCCCATCTGGTTTCTGTCTTATATTTACCCTCACTGCCCAAATGAAGCATCCACAGTTCTGCTTGTTTTTCTGGTTTGTTCTTACAAGAGCAATTTTACTTGAGTCCCTCTTCTCAACGTCCTCTGAAAAGTCACTGCTTACGATTCTGGCTGACGAAGCTGTCCCCTGAGCAGGCCAGGGTGTCCTGCATCTGGGATGGCAATAGTTTCCTTGTCCCTTTCCCTTTGTAAGGAAGCCATCTAGTTGAACCCTCCTGAACACTTACATTAAGCCAGAAGTCAAATAGATAGTACACAAGTCGTGTCTCTAGGAGAAAAACATAAGACTTCTTTGAGCATGAGATAAGAGAAAGGCCTCTCATTGAATTTGAACATCATGATAAAACTATAGTGCTTTGTTTAGCAATATCCAGTACTCCTGGTAAAACACAATTTCATATTTAGGGTAGCTGGCTACATTTTATTTAGCTCCCATTGATGGAGAATTGGATTAGTTCTTTCCCTGTTAAACTTCTCTAGAATTCTGCGCTTCCATATTTAATTGGTTTTTATATCATTCTTTTTGTTGTTTTAGCTGAGCCATCCTGCCACCTGTTGGCAGCTCAGTGGCAGCTCAGCTCGGACCGGTTATCGAACCGCTATTGCTCAGAGCTCACACGCTTGAGCGAGCTCTTAACCAACTGAGGCACTCGGCCGGCTCTCTTTTATATCATCCTTTGTGGATTTTTGCCCACCCTCAGGGTGGATGTTTGGTGTCAAGGCTCAGAAAAACAATGCAGAATATTCCTGAAAAGTTCAAACATTGGGGTTCCACGATGACTGTCGTACAGGGGAAATGCTACCACAAAGCGGCTGCCCTAGAAATGAAGGACCTGAGAGAGTGAGACGCTTGGCTGGTTGCTGCCCTGGTGACGAGCTTATCTCTTTCCTTCCTATCCTTTCTGTGCCCACAGTTCCATCAAGAAATCCAGCAACGTCAGAACGAAACTTCTCGGGAATCTCGGAAGAAGGAGAAACTGGAGAAAGAGCTCAGGCAGATTCAGACAGACATGGACTCCCGGCAGACGGAAATCAAGGCCCTGCAGCAGTACGTGCAGAAGAGCAAGGAGGAGCTACAGAAGCTGGAGCAGCAGCTGAAGGAGCAGAAGGTGTGTCGTGCGGGGGCGCTCGGTGGGTCCCCGCAGAAACAAGAAGGCGCTGCGGTTTGCGGCCTGCTGGGGCATTTTGGGTTTTCTTTGGAAAGCAGCAAACTCCCTTACCTATAGATGTTGATAACAAAGACTTAGCATTTTGAACGGCACCTATCGGTAGATATGCCCTCCTTTATAGGTAGATATGCCCTCCCTCTTTTTTTTTCCAGCTCCAACAGGTCAATTAATTTCTTTTTAACCTTTTATTGATATCTAATATACACATAGGAAAGTATATCATTATGAGTGTACAGCTTGATGAATTTTCTCCACTTGAATGCATCTTGCACCCAATCCAAGAAGCACTACCCCCAGAAGTCCCCTTGTGCCCCCTCCCGGTCACTTTTTCCCCCAAAGGTCACTTCTTTTCTGAATTCTAAGTGGAGATTAGGTTTGCCTGTTTTGGTACTTTACAGAAATGAAATCATACAGGATGTCCTCTTTTGTGTCTAACTTCCTTTTTTCCATGCTCTGTTTGTGAGGTTCATTTATGTTGCTGTCATGCAGTTATAGATCTTCACTCTCTAATATGGTAGCCACTAGCCACATGTAGCTAAATTTAAATTATTCAAAGTTCAAAGAAATTTTAAAAATCCAGTCCCTTGGCTGCATAGCACCATTTCAAGTGCTCCATAGCCTCATGTGACTAGAAGGCACCGTATTGGACACTGCAGATAGAGTCTGCCATTTACTTCATTGCAGGAAGTCCTATTGGACAGCGCTCAGTGGAGCCTTCATTCTCGTAGCTGTATAGTATTCCATTGTGTGACTAGAACATGATTTATTTTTTAACAGGTTTATTCTTATGTTTCAAGTTTAGGAAACCCTACTCAGTCTTTATGTATTTTACTATACTTTAAATATAGTACTGTTTTTTTTTAACGTGTCCCCTGTAATAGTGGTTTAAGGCAAGTCAAATAGTGACAACCCTAGTCTGTCTTTCCTCATTTCTTAAAGAAGCAATTCATGTAATTGAAAAAAATTCATTTCTTGAAAATATTTTCTCTGAGGAAGTTTCCAAGGAATTGTCAAGCCATGTAGCATTTTTCTATTTAAAAAATAGATATTAGAGTACATTTCTTTGTCAGTTGCTTCATTTATTTTATATAAAGCCAGAAATAAAATAGATAATACACAACATACATTATCCTTGAGAAAAACATGAGGCTTCTTTGGGCATGAAAGTTGGAAGATTTTTGAACATCATGATAAAATTATGGTGCTTTGTTTAGCAATATCCAGGACTCATGTAAGACAATTTCATTTTTAGCATAGCTGGCTATATTTTATTTAGTCCCTATTGATGGGAAATTGAATGGATTCTTTTCATGTTTAACTTTTGCTAGCATGGAAGTTATACAGTTGACCCTTGAACTACGGGGGTTTGAACTGCACCGGTTCACATTGATGTGAAGTTTTTTCAATAAATACAGAGTTGCCTTTTCTTATCTGCTGGTTTTGCATCTGCAGATTCAACAAACTGTGCTTTGAAAGCAGCATTTTGGCTCCATGGTTGGGAATCTGTGATTGGGAATCCACAGATGTGGAGGGCTGACTGTGCATAGTTTGGCACCATTTTATAGAAGGGACTTGAGCATCTGCGGATGTTGGTATCCTCAGAGGTATTGAAACCAATCCCCTGTGTATACTGAGGGATGACTGTAGTTAAGTTTTGGGTGAGTCAAAAGTTGTATGTGGATTTTCAACTATGTGGGTGGTCAGTGCCCCTAATCCCAGCGTTGTTCAAGGGTCAAGTATATTTTGGAGTGTCTATTTGCTCTCTTATTTCCTTCAGCCCATTTGATATCCTTCCATCCTCCCAATTTTCTCCCAATAGAAGTGGCCCCCCCTAAAATATAATCCTCTGTTTTTATAAAACCTATAGTCAAGCTAGGGAAGAGGAAAATCCGGCTGACACCGGAGTCAGGCAGATAGAAATCATTTCTCGGCTGTTCCTCAGTTTTGACTTCAGTTGGATTAAAGGGGAGTTGTGTCTGTGTTGGTGTTAGTGAAGGATTCTGTTCCCTAAAATGTCGTAAGCATGTTAACGCGGGATTCGCTTCCGAAGATGTGACTGCCGAGCCCCACAGCAGATAAAACTCATTTGAATCTCTAGCTCATTTGCAATGATTATAGCAATTGTTGTGTATGTGAAGCCTGCCAAATGGCAAACAGGCATTAAAATATTTATCCACCACCTGTGAACAAGACTTCCCAAGACTCTCAGAAAAAAACTTTGCTCTCTGTGTTATTCATTAGAAGGTGTCATTTTTCCTCAGCCATTTAACATTCATCATATTTGAGTGCCTTAGTGCTTTCACTGGGGATAAAGAACCATTTCTACAAAGACCAAAAAAAAAAAAAAGTGTGGCTGTTGTGATTGTCCCAGGAGGTTTGCAAGGCCCCCTGTGTATATATGCAGTTATTGTGATCAGATTAAAAAGCAATAATCAGCTCCTTCTGCATCTTTCAGATATTGAATGAGAGAGCTGCAAAGGAACTGGAGCAGTTTCAGATGAGAAATTCTAAACTTCAGCAAGAGAATGAACAACACAGTTTGGCTTGCGAGCAGCTATCCCAGGAGAACCAGCAGAAGGCACTGGAGCTCAAAGTAAACACCAAGTGACATATCTATTCCCTAGCACTCCTTCTGTCATTCCCTATTGATATAGGTTTGCTGTGCAGTTGGAGCCCTCGGTTCTATAGCCTCTATCAGCTTTGACACATCAGAGGCAGGCACAAGTCTACCATGATTGCTTTATGCCTGGAAGCAGAGAGTGTGATAACTTCCATTCTTACTTATAAAATTACAAACCTGATTATTGATCATATGATTATGCAAATGCTCTCCTAACCGAGCTCAGATGTTCATCGCTGTAACTTAGCCTAGCAGGAAACCAGTTGCCCAGAGCTAGAAACCATTTACACAAGCAAGTAATGAAGATGTCGGATTATATTTTATTACTTGTATGGAGAAGGTGGAATGGGAGGGGTTGGGGGTGGACTGGTACTATTGGGTATTTACTTCCAGGCTTGCAGAAGCAGAATTTTCACTCTGTCCATTGCAAATTTCAAGACAGGCCTCCTATTCTTCTCCTTCTCTTCCTTGAAGTGTGCTTGCAAATTAAGTTTGGATAACAGTTTTATACCTGGATTCAATTTTATGCCTACATACTTAACAGAGCAACTCTATGTTTGTCATTAATTCTGAAGAATCTGTAAACCCTATTCTGATTATGTTAGAATACTGGGTATAAAATGAATGACTGATCAAGGATAATACATAGATTTGAGTAGTTTTGCTTCACAGGCCCTTTTGAGAATCTGATAAAAGTGCATGCGTGCGCGTGCACGCGCACACGCGCGCGCGCGCACACACACACACACACATACACACACATTCACACTCACTCACTCACTCACTCACTCACTTATTTACATCTTGTATCTTATTTTGCACACAGTCCCAGAGGTTTCCAGGATTTTTCTGAAATCTAATCATTGGGTCTGGGTTAATAACTACTGAATTAGAGTATCTTATGGTTCTAATTGAAAGGGGTCTTATGTCAACTAATTTGGACCCTGTAGCACCTAAGGCTGAGGAACATTTAAATGGTTTGACTTGAAGTCATTCTTCATCAGAATGCTATAAGTTAAAGCAGAAATGAAACGACTACTTAAGGCAAAATAATATATGAGCCCTTAAGGTGAAATTAAAGTAAAAGTACTCATGCTGTCAATTCTCTCCTTTGATTACACGGATAGGGCATCTTGAAAGATGATATATTTTTGGTATCAGATCCTGAACCTATGGGATTCTGCTTCACCAATAATCTGAGGGTAACATGCCCAGCTAAGTTCAGTCTCTTCATTGTCAAGAACTGGGGATAATTGCTGATCTTTATTTGTGGAAGAATCACTGGTTGCTTTTCCAGTAATTTCTAAGAATGGCAAAATTTAAAAAAATGAATTTAATTTGAATTTTAACAAACTCATAAATCTTGACGCCCATAGGCTAAAATCTGGTGCTTTCCTTTGCCAGAATTATTATTTTGGTACCTTTTGCCATTATGTAGACTTGCTAATGAATGTCTGTATATACACCCACCTGTCCACCTGCCCGTATATACATCCATAGGCTAACATCCTCTGAGGAAGGAGAGCCCCTTCTCTAGTGTACATAATTGCACTACGGTGGCCATGTGGGTCCAAAAGAGTATTTGAATATTTTATAACATGTTAATAACCTTCTGGGAAGGATCGCATTATGAGTCCATGAAAGTTGCTACTTGAATGTAGCATCTGACCACAAAATTCACACATTTATGACACACACAGCTCAGCAGTCTTACCTTGTTTGATTCAACATTCAGTGGTGCCTTGAGACATCAGGTTTAATCAGTCTTTTCATTATTTTTAGTTTATGTAGCCACATATTTTATTCAGAGAACAGAGTTTTTCAATTTCCTTTAAAACGAAACAGTGTGTGTTTTGATTTAATCCGAAAGAACCCTTTCACACTGACATAGGGAGAATTTCCTTTCCTTGGTTCTGAGTTTACCATCCTCCAGTCACCAGCCCTTTATTTACTGCGTATCCCTGGTTAATTCTCTCTCACTAATTACAGGCCAAAGAGGACGAAGCCCATCAGATGCGCCTTGACATTGGAAAGCTCAACAAAGTCAAAGATCAAATCCATAAAAAGTTGCACCAGATTGAAGATCAAAAGGCAGAAGTGGAACAGCACAAGGAGACTCTGAAAAGTCAGATCTTGGGATTAGAGAGAGGTAAAGCAGCAAACATTTTGTGACTTTAAAAATTCATCTATGAACATTTCATGGGTGACTAATGTTATTTGGCAGCCCAGGGCCCCAGGCATACAAACACAAAAATACCAGATGAAATCAGTAAAACAACGTTTAAACGGGTAGGTAGTCAACATGGAGGGGACATCATTTTGAACACCTTAAAAACTTCTTCAACAAGCTATATTGGCACAGTGTAAATCCAGCCCAAAGTATTGTTCAGTATTTGTCAGTGGAGTAAATAATGTCTATACTGTTAGGTCTGGGTTCTATATGACTTTTAACTTTAGTCCCTTTTCCCACAGAAGATAGGGAATACATTAAAATAAATGTCCTCCATTATCAGTATTTGAGGCAATATTGTCCCAAGAAGCAGTGGGACAAAAATAAATGGCTTCTATTTTTTTTTTCTCTCTGTGAGTACTTTACTATATGGCAAACATTTGTTTTATCAGCTTTCACATTGACCTGTGGAGGAAAAATTTAAGTGCCATGGGAGGCCGTATAACACAGAAAAATCATTAAGGATACAAACTCTGGAATCATGTCTGCCTGGGTTCAGATCCCACCTCCATCCTATTTATCTGTTGGGGGATAAAACGAACTAATATACATAAAGTACTGTTGGACGGTACATAGCACATCCTAAGTGCTTACTAACTGTTATCTATTATTATCCAGATATTACTATTTATATAGGTAATAAGATAGAATACAATCTCATTCTGAAAAGAATATAATTGAAAACAGGGTATACTCATCAAATTCGCTGTCAGAAAAAGCTCTGGACTTGGTGACAGAGGATCTGGGTTTGCCTTTTGAGTATATCAGAATACGTGAGGCAGGAAATGCTGCATTCACCTCACGCGGGCTGCTGTGCATTGCAAATCACTGCCTGAGATAACATGCATACAAAAGTATTAAAACCTATATCGCCTCGTTAAAAGCTGGGTAAAATCTAAGTCTCCAGATAAGATTATAGAAATATGTATCATATAAGCCATTGAGAAGTACAGGTGTTTTTTCTTCTAAGATAGCAGGCAAAAATCTTTTTTTTTTTTAAAGATTTTATTGGGGAATTGAGGGAGGGGAATAGCGCTGGGGAATCAGAGGAAGGGGAACAGACAAGTTGCTGTCCTTTTGTTCTTCAGTCTAGTTGTGGAGGATGTTGCTTCCCTGGCCCATGTTGGTATTATCATTGCGCTCTTCCCAGGTGAGGCAGATCGGTCGCCGGCCTCTGGACAGCCGCTCATGGCAGCTCTTGGCAGCTGACACCGGCTGCCGGCCGCTCACACTGGCTGCTGTCCACACATGATAGCTTACAGCAGCCCACTGCAGCTTCACTACAGCCTATGCCCTCGCTGGCGACTCACGGCAGCCCAGCTCCAGGTCGAGCTGTTGTTCACCATCTTAACTGTAGAGGGCAGTGTCACTGGCCCTCATGTGGGATCTGAACCGGGGTCCTGCTGCTCAGAGCTGGCGTCCCAAGCCAGCTCTTAACCAACACGCCACTTGGCCGGCCCAGGCAAAAATCTTTTATTGAGATGCAGTTGCAACTTATTTTGACAATTTCCCCATTCATTCATTCTTTCATTCAAAAAGTTGAGTACCTTCTACAAGCATGTGCAGGCACTGTGCTAGGCATTGGGTGCGTGAAGGTCCCTGCACTCAGGATGCTTACTGTCTAGCATGAATTTACAATCTAATGTCTACAGTGACATATATGAAGAAAAACTTCTAGAGCTTGTTTTGTAACTGGCTTAGTGACTTTCAAAACACTCCCATATTTAAATTTCTGTAGTTTTGCTTGCAGTAGTTCTAAGCTTTGAAAAAAAAAATCACCTATTCAGTGTTGAACCCAATTCTTCATCCTTAAATCATGTTTACAGAAGTCATCATGCACTGTTTTCTTGTTATTTTATAGATGTTGTTGACCATTATTTATTCTCAGGGTTCTCTTCCTTTTGATGTGCCTGATCAAAGAGTGGTATTGGACATAACAGTTAGGAGGACGAGTCCTCCATATCTTTTTGCTACCCAAACCCAAGAAACAAACTGAAAAACTGCCAAACTGATGAGAGTTCAATAGGATATTAGGTTATAAAATAAATACATAGATATCAATAGCTTTCTTCCGTACAAAGAACCAGTTAGACTACATGATGGAAAAACTCCTTTTCAAAACAGCAACTGAAGTAATAAAATATCTATGAATATAGTTACCAAGATATCTGCAAGACCCATGTATAAAAAGCACCACAGAATTCTACTGAGGGGCATAAAGGACGACTTGAAAAATGGAGAGCTATACGAAGTTCCTGGATGAAAAAAACTTAATATGATAAAGATATAAATCTGTCTAAGTTAATCTATACATTTAATATTTCCAATAAAAATTTCAGTGAGTTATACTGCTGGGACTTGAAAACTGATTCTAGTGCTCCCCCAGAAGAATAAACGTGTGACAATAGTCATAAAATTCTGGAAAAGGAGAGAGATGAGGAAGCATTTGCCTTATCAGTTATTTAAGTGTATTATAAAGCTTCAATAATTAAATAGTATGGTGAAGATGTCCACATAAACAGGTCAATTGAAAAGATTGGAAAGCCACAGGAAGACCCAAGATTATTGTTTGAGATAAAGGTGTTGTTTCATACAAGTGTGCAGTATGGGTTATTAAGAAAATGGTAGCATGACAGCAAGCTACGTTTTTGGGAAAAAAAAAAAAGTTAATAGCAGATGTAGAAAGCATAAGGCCAGGATTGAGAGATTTCTTTGAGTGAAATAAAAGCTAAATTTTTTGTATGTATCAAAGACTATATTATAAAGGCAAATTAACCAAAATATTGTCAAAGAGCTAGTATCCTTATTATATATAAAGAGTTCTTACAAATCCACAGAAAGGATAAACAATCCATGAGAAGAATTGGCAAAGCGCAAGTGTGGCCAATTTGAAAAACAGCAATACAAATAAACGGTAATTAAACATGGAAAAACAGTCAACTTCACTATTAATCAAAGAAATGTAAATTAAATACAGACATATTGGTTTTAATGATCTAGCAGATTGTCAAAGATCAAAGAGAATGGTAATACCCAGTGGTGTTTTGGCTGTGGATTTAGATTGCTATTAATTTTCTGGAGAGAAATTTGGCAGTAGAAATGTATTTTTTTTTTGTTTGTTTAATGCCCTATGATCCAGGACTTCCTCTTGTAGAATAACAAATGAACAAGAACTTTCCCAGGGTTATTGCTAATATTACCAAAGAAATAAATAAAATGGAAGCAACTTCAATGTTATATGGGGGATTGGCTAAATAAGTGATACATTTTCATATAGGGAAATATGGAGTCATTAAAAATTCTGATGTAGATACACATTTATAATCTAGAGAGGCATTTATTTTATGCTTGTTAATTATAAAAGCAAGCTACAAAAAGTATGTATAATAGGATTCCATTTGGTATATATATATATATATATATATATACATATATATATATATGAATGTATGTATATTTAGAATTATATACACACTTGTATTTGCATAGGAAAAAGTCTGGAAAGAGACGTATCAAAATCCTAAGTAGATGGTGGTTGATTTGAATTTTTTTTTGTTTATTTTTATTTCTAATTTCTCTCTGTATTTCTACTTACTTGTATAATAAGATTTAAAAAGAGTAAGAACTTTTTGGAGTCAGGGAAACTGTGCTCCCAGTCTCAGCCCTGTCACCTTTTGGTTGCAGACCCTTGGTGTGTGACTCAATTTCTCTAAGCCTTAGTTTCTGCCTGTTGAGTGAGACAGGAAGACCTATCTCACTGTGTAATAATGAAGATCATGTAACAGCTAACAAACATTTTTATAGCTACAGGTAAACATATAAAGAAGTTTTGTATCAGTTTGGCTTTGGCCTATTTTTTCTTAGGTTGACTCCATATTTATTATTATTTTTCTTCCTGGCTATTTAGAGGTGGAGGCTTCAAAGAAACAGGCAGAACTTGATAAGAAAGCAATGGATGAGCTTCTGAGAGAAAGGGACATATTAAATAAGGTGAGTTTGCTACAGTAACACTGGTAAATAAGTGTCTTTCTTTAGCGCTACAGCATCTGCCTATAGCAGGTTGTATGGGGAAAGGAAACTCTGAGGCAAACAAAAGTAGATTAGAATGAATAATAGTGCTCAATTTTCCTTTAAGCAGCTGTCTGCAGCCCAGCATTCACTGGTTTTGAACTGAAACTGCATTATCACCTGTGAGCACAAAGGAACTTGGGAGGATTATCATGTAAACTAACAGGGGATTTCAGAGTGTGTGTGTGGATTCTGTTTTTATTGCTGGTGTGTTCTTTGGCATCCTAAACTGCCCAAATTTCTGAATTGTGTTTTCTGGATTAGCAAAAGTTACAGATTACAGATATTAAAGTGAGTGCTAATAAAATTTTAACTTCGACGTGTTAGGTATAGGGATGGCTGGTTGGTGATATAAAAAGTCTCTAACATTTCCTCCGTCTTTTCAGGATTGTTGTAGGTTTTTGTTTTTGTTTTCAGCCCTTAGTTCTCCTAGCCTTTGAGCTCAATATGGTCCAAAGCTGGAGGAGGAGCTGGGGGGCTTGAGGCCTGGAGATTTTCCATTCGAGGCGGGACCCCCTCACCCTCACCCCTTTCCTCTCCTTGTCCCTTCCAGAGGAGTCCTTCCCTTGACTGACGTCACTCTTAGGAGATTAATTACTTTCTAGGATGTAGGGTAGACGTTCCTGCTTAAGGATTTCCCCCAAAAGGTGATCAGCCAGGTGTACTGAGTTGGGGAGGCTGCTTCCATAACAGACAGCCTGATGACCTGTGGCCAAGACAGCTTTGTCTCATCAAAGTAGATACAGCCTATATTTGTTCATTCTGACTTTTCATTACTTCTTTAGGTTTCCCCGAATTGAACAAATGTGAACAAAATAGCTTACTCTTTGGCTTAAAGTAGACTATTTAGGGAATCGCAGGAAATAGTGGGAGATTAGATATCTTTACATGCAGAACTCCTTAAGAGAAAGTTTTTCTTTTGCACAATCCTGGAAACCATTCCTTTATAAATTTGTACATGTAAATAATATTATTGGATATAGATTTTTAAATTTAGTTTTAACACATACCATATTTAATCCATTTATACTTTATATATACTGGGAAACAACCCATAGATTTTTCTGCCATGATAGGACATGTAGCACATTATTCTTACATTTATCTATTTGATTTGACTCATGTCAATTCCTCCCTTAGGGCTGGGTACACTTTCTTTTCTTTCCTGGCCATCGCATCCTTAGTGCGCAGCACAGTACCCAACCCTCTGCAGGTATGCAATCAACATTGATTGATAATGCATTCCTTCCCTACTGACTTGGAAT